GTATATTGGGTATTATTAGGTACATTACCCAAAATATTGGATATTTGAGGCCAACCTGTTTTTTCCCGAATGCGTAGCAAGGGTTCCCGTTTCACTCTGGGGGGTGAGGGTGTGTTCGCTCGATACGTCCGCAACCGTCCGCAACCGTCCGCAACCGTCCGCAACCGTCCGCAACCGTCCGCGTGAGGGCCATATGGCCGTGCCTATGGTAAGTTCTCCAGAAGGGGTTACTTTTGGAGGTTTCAAACGTGGCGTTGCTTCGTTTCGCGTGGCAGGCGTGGCGCTTCGTGACATTCAGACGTCTTTTGTAACGCGTCGAAAGTCGTTTTGTGTGGCAGGGGCAATACTTTTGCGTCGTTTTCACAAGATGAGTTGCAGTTTTCGTGGCAGGCGCAACATTTTGCAGATCTCTGCCGTCATTTTGCGTGGCAGGCCGCAGCACTTCAGACGTGTCGCATTACGTGCTCTACACTCCACACTCTACACTCCGCACTTCACGCTCCACCCTTTACACTTCATACATTCCACACTTTACACTCTACACTCTACACTCCAGACTCTACACTTTACACTCTACACTTTACACTCCACACTCCACACTCTACACTTTACACTTTACACTTTACACTCCACACTCTACACTTTACACTCCACACTCTACACTCTACATTGTGCACTCCACACTCCACACTTTACACTTTACACTCTGCACTCTACACTTTAGATTCCACAGTCCACACTTTAAATTCCACACTTTACACTTTACACTCCACACTCTACACTCCACACTTTACACTCCACAGTTCCACGCTTTACACATGACACTCTACACTCCGCACTCTACACACAACACTCCCCACTTTACACTTTACACTCCGCACTCCACACTTTACACTCCACACTTTACACTGTAGACTCCGCACTCCACACTCCACACTCCACACTTTACACTTTACACTCAATACTTTACACTTTACACTTTACACTCCACACTCCGCACTCCACACTCTACACTTTACACTCCACACTCTACACTCCACACTTTACACTCCACACTCCACACTCTACACTCCACACTCTACACTCCACACTCTACACTTTGCGCTCCACACTCCACGCTTTACACGCTACACTTTACACTCCACACTCCACACTTTACACTCCACACTTGAAACTCCACACTTTACACTTTACACTCTACACTCTAAACTCCACGCTCCACACATTCTACACTCCACACTTTACACTTTACACTCCGCAGTTCCACGCTTTACATTTGACACTTTACACTCTGCACTTCACACTCCACACTCCACACTTTACACTTTACACTCCACACTTTGCACGCCACCTTCTTCCATATTCTACAGTCTACGGTGTACTAGTATGGTAACAGGGTAAAAATGTACAAGACTGTTCAAATAAACTGTTTCACAAAAGTGTTCTACGTGACTGCATATCCATGTGTTTCGACATCTGTGACATTAACATACGTGTGAGCATTCGGGTTCGCGGGCTGCATCTTGTTTTTCAAGAAAGAGATAGTTGCAGCAATATGTTCCAGTCTCTAATGCTGACTAATGGGCTCGGCTTCCGGGTGGGGTCCCTGCCGTGGCCGTAAAATCAGGCTTCTCATGAGCACCCCTGTAAGAGGGAGTGGCTTTGAAATGGCAGGAGAAGGTCGCGGTTTCTTGTTTGAAGACAATATGAAGCAAAACCGCAAACCGTTGTTGGCTGACTTGCTGAAATCTAGATGAGGAAACCAAACAATGCAAAAGGTTGTTGCAAGGCCAGCGGAGGGGGAAGCTTTAGATGGAAAACTCAGGTTTATAGTGAAGTCAGCAATGCCACAGATTGTTGAAAGGCGAGCGGCGGGATGGAGACTTCAGATACTGAAACCCGCAACGCATTCGGTTGCTGAGAGGCCAAAGGAGGGAGACATTTAGATAATGGCACCAGCAATGGCTCAGGTTGTGAAGGGGCGAGGTGGGGGAAGAAATAGACAATGAAGCCAGCAACGAAAAGGGCGAGGGGATGTGAAAGGGGAATATGCATGTGAGCGGATGCAGAGCGCTTGGCGCGTATATGTGAGCAACCTGTGTATAAATGTGAGGCTTGAAAAACATGCTAGTACTTGTATGGACACTTTATGTACACGTGCTCCAGGGCTTCGGGCCAGGTGCAACAGTTTCTACCCATACAGATTTCAATATGTTCGCAAATGTTCGCAAATATAGGATTTTGTAACCCATCTTGAATCTCAGGTTCTGAGCTTCCAGATCCCTGATTTTGGTGGCAAGGACAGCAGTTTCTGACTCTCCAGATCCAAATTCATATGGTAGATGCCAGGCCGGGAACCCCTCTGGTAACCCCTGGTGACACCATGGTAACCTACCCCATATCGGAATCCGCACAACAGCGGGGAGGCACATGTTATTTTAGGCTTCTTTTTGGGATGATACGATCAGTTGAGGATATCTCACTCTCACCCCGACCAGAATCCGGCAGGTTACGCCAGGTTGATGAGGAGGGAATTTACTGTGGTTTTGCCAGTGTCAATCAGTATAAACCAGACTCAACCAGAAACTTCCTACAGATCTTTGCCACTGAAACAGTTTTCTGCCTTTGCCCACTTGATGTGACAAGAGCGGAATCCACTTCCAACAATGCACCCTGAAATTGGCAAATTGTTGGTGAACGTTCGTCGCAGTTGTAGATCTATATGAGCAACCTTATATAATCGATTTCTCAGCAATGGATCCCAGCTTCAGGGTTCAGCTAGCACCGTGTCATCGTGACGCGGAAGAACTCTGGTGCTTCACTGAACTTGGTGGAACCGCAGCCGGAGGAATTTGATGAAGTGGCGCCTGTTTCAACGGTGCAACTGACAAAGATAGTGTCCACTCTCGAAGGTAAAAATAGTGACATACTAAAAGAGATGGATTTGATATTAGTTCAGCACCTTTTTGCTCCAAATTTGGACCCACATACATCATAATAATCATAATACATATGTAATATCTATTACATTATTATACATCTATCACATTCTATCACGTTGAATACGTTGGGATGGGGTGCCGGCCTTTCTGAATCATTGAGGCCTCTAATCCAGACATCTCCAGACCTTCAGTTCAAGTCCCTACAGATGGTCCCACGGATCGTCGTCCCCGGGCGTTGTCTCATTCGCAACTAGCTTGGAACTAGCACTAGATAACATTAGATAACCAGCCAGCTTTCTAAGTGGGATCATCAAGGTAGGATGCATGAGTGCAAGATAGTGCAAGCAGCAATCTGTACAGAATCGGCCGAGCAGAGAATCCAAAAGTGCATTAGTTTTGTGGTGACACAAGATAACACAGATGTCTCCTGAAACCATTTTGAGGCCACTGCGGTTTACATGGCACGTTTCATTGGGACTTGTGGCGGCCTTGATTTTGCTGCCTGATTTCTGTGCACGCTGCGCCCGCCAGGGTTATCACAGTCGAGAAGGTTGTGGAAGTGCCTCAGGTCATCACGAAGGACTGAGTCGATTGCACGGCCAACGGCCGCTACTGAAATAATTTGATATTTGAAATATGGGTTGATTGCATTGATTGCATTGCCTTTTTGTTTTGTCTCTTAAACGGCTTAAACACTTGTCTTATCTTGTTTTCAAATTGCCATCCTTAGGACAATCAGCTCTAAATGACAGACATTTGCTGGGATTCAGCGAACGAGAGAATCCATAAGATTGCTTTAAGTTTTCCTGTCCTTTGGAGACAAGTTCTTTGCTGGATTGGCCGTGCTCATTCTTCCCGTTGACTTGGGGTATTAATGTCTAATTTCTTTATATTTCTTTTACCAACTTCAAAGCAACAGGCCCAGGCATCGGCCGTGCCAGGAGACCATCAAGCGAGTGCCGAAGCCTGAAATCGTGGAGCGCATCATTGAGGTGCCCAAGATCTTTCTTCTCCGGAAAAGCAATATTATTTCCACAGTGCAGTGGGGATGTTCTAATCTAATCCTGAGATTCCAGCGTTGCTGGTATTGTTGGGAAATAGTTGGGAAATAGTTGGGAAATAGTTGGAACGTTTTGGTCCTTTTTGAGTTTCTGTCATTAAACCTATTGTACATCCAGCCCTTTCGATTGGGACTGGACACATCCTGTATATATTCTAATACGCCCGCCATTCCAAAGGCAAGCGATGTGGGGTAGTTCACGCTTCATGTGCAATGGAAAGAGGATGCTGTGCCACTCTGTTCCGCAACCCGTTGCAAGACCCACTGTACGTGAAGGCGAAGCCGTGCACCGTGACACATTCTGCGTGTGAAAATGCAGCACTGTGCACGTGGTGCAGGGCAAGTTGCCGTGCTGCGCATGGATTTGCCACAACTCCTGGAAGTTCTTTCATTCCTTTCATAGACGTTTTTTTAAACTTTCTGGGCCATTCGGTAGTACTGGTTTATATAAAGACGCACAAAGCGTCCAGTCTTGAACATTGAAACACATGTTTATTGCAGTGTCTGGGCTGCCTTACAAAAGCCAAGGGACGCCACACAATCCTGAAACCAGATTCAGGTGAACATGCTTCATTGTTCCCGATCCATGTCAATCAATATACAGAGGTCTAAAGTCTAGAGGCACCTTGTGGCCAAATACAAATTGCAAGAATGGGCCCCATGACCTCTGGGTCACAACGTGCAACTTCTGCTTTGGGTTCCTAACTGGACCTACTGGGGTTGTCCTGGAGGGTTTATCATTTACAGAGGGAGCGAGAGAGGGCTTTCAGCGTGAGGTGCCTGGCAAAGTAGAGACTCGCTTTGGGAGGCTCGTCATTGCCAGGATTTGTCGGGTGTGTCTGAAGGAGCGAGCTGTTGCCATGTTTTTAGCTGTCGATCATGGTGCAAAACATTGTAAAACGACCATTTTCATCGATGAAACTCCCCGCGTTTGATATGTTTTGGCAGTGGGTTTGATGGTCAAACCGGTGACAGCTTTGGCGCTCGGCAGGGGTGGAATGGGTGGCGCTGGTGGTCCTGGTGGAACAGGGACTGGTGGCCCAGGTGGCTGGGGCTTGGGATTGAAGGGTTTTGGGTGGCCCGGAATGCCCGGAATGCCAGGAATGCCTGGCATGCCTGGGATGCCAGGGATGGATCTGAACCTGCCGGGGATGCCAGGGATGCCAGGGATGCCGGGAATGCCTGGCATGCCAGGAATGCCAGGAATGCCGCCAGGAGGTCCGGAAATGTCCGGGCGCTATGGGATGGATCTACATATGCCAGGAATGCCAGGGTTGCCAGGGATGCCCGGCATGCCCGGCATGCCAGGGTTTGGCTTGGATGTGGGCTTGCCTGGGATGCGTGGCTTTGGGATCAGTGGTATGGGTATGGGTGGCTTTGATGGCATGGGCTTTGGCCTCTATGGCAATGGTGTGCAACTTGTCTGCAGGTGGTTGGCCAGTCGGCGGGGCCACAGCGGCGCTGGTACTAAGACCCCAAACTAGTGCTGAACCCAAACTGGTCCTGAATCATTTGGGTTTATTAGTGGTATAATTATGAGTTGTCATGTCAATAGGCCGTTCAACTCTAGAGTTGCCATCAAGAGCTCGTCGCAATGCACACCCACATTGATAGGATGTCCATAATTTTCAATCCACAAAAATGGAGGTCAATTAAAATTTAATTAAAGTAATTAAAGACAACTAAAGACAAGAGAAGCCAATAGACGCCAATAGAGGCCAATATGAGCCCATTGGGTTTTCTCAGATTTCCTACTCGTTTCTGTCCCAGCTTAATGGTTCCAGAATTCGTTTCCAAGGAGCGGTATTGGCCCCGGTGGCTTGGCCATGGATCTCGGTGGCTATGGCGGTGGTGGCATCCAGGACATCTTGGGCGAAGGCATGGATGCCAGTCTCAAGATGTTCAAGATGTCCAAGGAAAGAGCATGAAAGAACATGAAAGAACCCACAGAAATCCATAGAAATTCATAGAAACCATTCCATATATTCCATCCCCGGACTATTTCATCCCTTTGCATTCTATTTGTTTCATTTCATTTTCATCGTGGATGATGGCTGCCAAACATTTTATTGCACCCCTATGCCATGATGAACTCGGATGAATGACTTTTTTTTCCGGCTGGGTTGAAGCCACGAATCGGCTTTGTATTTTCTTGGGCATCCGGCACTTTGGCCAAACATCTACCCAGTTCCATGATCCATTGCAATCCATGACGGCCATGTTGGATGCCGGATGTTCTTCTTTTGTCATGATTTGATTCGTTTTGTATAGTTTCTTTTTTAATGTTTTGTTGCTTCGTTTAGGCGGCATGGAGTTGGTGAATGGCGGAGACTTAGATGCTGCCCTGGGGCTTCTGAATGGCCCTGGTGTGGATGCCAATGGTGCCTTGGCACATCGCACCACACTTTGCAACGAAACACAGATGTGGTCACTCTTGGTCACTTTCAAAGCATTTCTCGGGATTTCAAGATGCTTAAACTCAAACTTCAGAAATTTTGAAGCACAGGGATCAATTCTGTTCATCATCATCGGGCCGGGGTGTGGGCAATGGTGAGAGGACCGTCCCAAAGATGTCGCCGAGAGCCACATCTTATCCAGATGTTTGAAATCTACCAAGACAAAAAGAAATCTTTGGATCATTTTTGATACTTTCACTTCCAAGCAAAGCATAGCAAAGCTCCAAAGATTGCAACCCCCCAATGGTTTGAAACTCTCAAAAGTTACTGCTGAAATCTGCTGAATTTCAAGGTGAGATTCAGCTGCCACCAGGGGTGGAGCCTGGCACCAAGGACGGTGATGGGTTGAAAGGGGGGCTTTACGATCTACCCTGAAAATTGCTGTGGCATGGAATGCATGGAACATCATGGAACCCAAAAACCCGGAAGCACAGCCATTTTGGGATTGCAATGTAAATGTGATGGGTGTTCCATCTTACATAAACTGACTAGTCCAGCACGAACAGAAGCTGCAAGAGAATGGTGTGACTGGGATGTCAAGTTCACTTGCAGCAAATGCTCAGATCTGTGCAGCCACAAGGTAGCCGTAGCCACCAACAAGCTGTCTTTTCCTATTCAGCAAACCTCGTACTGGTTGAACCGTTGGTTCTCCTGTCACGTTGCACAGTCTCGAGATATCCATCCATCTCCTATCTTATGGAGAAAAGTGATTCTTTGGAGGGGGGGGGTTAACTATCATTTCTTGCATGCCTAAAGATTGAGGGGTATACTGTATACCCCAGTAGACCCAGGGTCGGAGGGGAACTGATTTTAGCCACAGAAAGGGTGTTTGGAACCCGACAAATTGGGATTTGACCAGCAGAAAACAACGAAAATTGGATTTACCATGTTTTATAATACTTTTTAATTTTAGTTATATATATATATATATACATATATATATATAGACAGATACACACAATTATATATATATACACATACAATTATACTATATATATATATATACATAGTAAGTAATCTTTGAAGATGGTAGCACACGGTGCGTTTTCAAACATTCTTTAATCAGTAACAATAATCGGAAGACTTTTGCAACATCCACTATAATGTTATTCTCAACGTTCTACAAACACATAAGTATGCAGAATCCCCTTCTACTTGAGTGTATTTCCCCTTGTACTAGGAATCTCTATCCTTTGATCCAAGAGCTCTAAAGTCACAACATCCATCCATCAATCCCAGATTTTTGTTCCCCTAAGTAGATACAGTGCCAGGGTCAAAATTGTCAAACGATGGGGCACAGGAAAATTGCCAGGGATTCACCGCAATTTGAATGGTCCAAGTGGTCCTACCCAATTTCCTCTACAACAGCCATGGAGTCGTGACCCAGAATGACTGTTTGCATTTATTGGCATTTGTTGGCCTGTGTTGAAAGTTTTTTGATTTGTTGGCAATATATATATTTAATATATACACACTCATTGTTGTAGGGTCTTGGATGTCCACTTCTGTTCTCGTCGGATGTTTGCATTGTGATCCAGGAGTACAACGATTTCCTTCAACAGCTGGAAGCCCAGGGGCTGATTGAGATTCGAGAGGACCGGACCCAGGGTGCGGGATGATGTCATAGATGAACGTTATTCATGATGACATGAATGACATGAATGACATGGATGACATGGATGACATGGATGACATGGATGTCTGGTGACTTGAAGTAAATCCTCAAGAGCCTGAGCTCATGCATGATTCGGTGCAGTCAACACCACTGCCCCGCTGATGCTTTCCAATCGTCTTCAATGATGCTTTCATATGATTCAAGCGAAGAAGGCAAGATGAAACAAGGCAAACAAGGCAAACAAGGCAAACAAGGCAAGGGAAGGCTCTGTCCGATTTTGGACACCCCTTGGCAGGAGATTGTTGAAGTTCCACAGGTTGTAGTGGAGGAACGCGTTGTTCACGTTCCAGGCTCCTCTGCTTCCCCTTCGGGCAATCGATGAGCTTTGACAGTGGTGGGTAAATCATTGATTTGGAACACAAGATTTCACAAGATTATCAAGGTGGTCTGGTCTGCGTATCCACAAGCTGTGCTGTCAGGAAAGAAGCAAATTCAGGAGAGGCTCATCGAAGTCCCCAAAGTTGCCTTGCATCCCAGAATGGGCGCAGATATCAAATTTGCCGTGGTGTTGCTGTTGCTGTTGCTGTTGCTGCTGCTGCTGCTGCTGCTCGCTCCGCTGCCGCTGCCGCTGCCGGTGTTGGTGTTGGTGTTGGTGTTGTTGTTGCTGCTTCTGAGAGGCATGAAGATATGGATTAGGGTAATATGCTTTTGTTGGTTGATTCTATATTTGTCATGCTCATTTGTCCATCAAGCGGTTCATAGTGGTCACACACAACGTTGGGCCAGGTCCAACAATTCCCTGAACATCTCTTGACCCTCTACGACTCTACGCCAACAGCCACCCTTTCCGATCCCGCCGAAGCCATGGCGACAGCCAAGGACTGGGTGGAGAGGGTGGAGTACGAGGACTACGTGGAGTACCGGGAGGTGCCTGTGGACAAGATCATTGAGGCCAGCCTACCCATGGACCTATCAGCTGTTGGAGACAATTTGAACACAGATTTGGCACTGGAACCTCCACCATGATGACCCGTGATGATCTATGATGATCTATGATGATCTACGATGATCCATGATGATATATGATGATGCATGAGGATCTATGATGATCTATGATGATTTATCATGATCCATGATGATCTATGACGATATATGATGATCTATGATTATCCATGATGATCTATCAATGATTCATGATGACCGATGATGATCTATGATGATCTATGATATTTTGCATGTTTTACCTACTTCAATGATTTCAGGCGGAGGTTCTGCTGCCACATTTCTTATTGGTTGGATTTCCGCTTCATCCAAACGCAATGTTGCGTTTCATCATCAGGCTTTTCGGTAGAAGTGTTGCTCCTTCCGATCTGTTCCTGAGGTTCCAGAGATTGAGTACAAGATCAAACAGGTCGACCAGACCGTGCCACAGACCTACATCCAGGTCGCTTGAAGTGGGTCTGGGGTTGTGTCCACAAGCTTCCCTAAATGGTGAGCTCACCCAAACTTTTCTTCTGCCAGGAACACTTTGTGGACAAGTTCAGGGAGGCTGGGAACAGCTAGGAATGGCTAAGGGAGAAATTGTGAATGTACTCATGAGTTTTGGCAGCCACCCCGTTCCTGTTGGGACTAAATATATGGGGCTATGCTTCAACCATTCCGTTGTGGCATCGCACGAAGCGCCTCTTGCAAGCCATGCAAGGCATGCAAGGCAGGGCATGGCTGCACTGCTTAGGTACCAGTGACACAAGTGCAAGAGACCGAGAGGGTGGAGCACGTGCCAGTGATGGCAACTTGACTGAATGGTGAAAGCATCCGGTTCTAGGTGACTGACTGTCATGGTTTGGCTTTTTTTTCTTCATATTTTACGTAGTCAAGTTTTTGGGATGTTGATTTGATTTTAGGGACATATGACAGGCTCCAACAGACCAACGAAACAAGGTGCCCAAAGATTGGCAACCACCAAACTATGAGGCGGGCATGCAGGGGGCGAGTCAGGCAACCCAAAAAATGGATTATCACTCGATTCTGGATGACGAAACACATTTACGACCACAAAGCTCAGAAGTGATTCATACTGATTCATGCTTTTGGCGTTGGCACTTCGGCTATGCTTTTGAGGTAAACGCAACGGTACCAGGATTGCAAAGATTTGCATCATCCTTTAAAGTGGGATACTGTGGAGGGTATTGACTTTCTGACAGAGAAGCCAATTCCGAAAAGGTCGGTCCAGAACCAGCACACGGGAACCGCTGACAAGTGCACATCCTAGCTAGTGCTCCATGATTGCATCCACCATGTGTCTTCTGTTTGATCCTATATTTTTGGTTAGGTACCACCATGACAGTTAGTTTGATCCACATCTTTCCGCGTGTCTTTGGTTCTCGAATTTGAAGTCCATGATTATTCAGGCCACGCTTGATCGGTGGTTCCGTTGGTTCGTGGGTCAGAATTGAGGGATGCCTTTCTACTGACAGTGATGATTCCCATCATAAGGGCTTCCCATATTCCAAACCGCCAATCACATGTACCCAAACCAGCAACCAGCCGCTGGCTGAAACTGATTAGTTCTACAATAAGACGTTTATGCAACATGCAACAACCACTGGTGCCCACCAACTTTCCCAGCTTGGCTGATCCTTGGGGAGGCCCTAGGAATGAAGTCTTCTCCGGTGAGGGCCTTTGTTGCAGGATGGAATCGATTGAGAACGAACAACCAGCGAGAGTTGGCATAAACAACAGACAAATATACGTATAGCTCCAAAGCAAACACATATTGCAATTTCAAGAGCCGTTTTTGGGTTCGGCTGGTGAAAGATGACGCGACGACAGACACACACACACAAATATGCAAGGGATTGTAAGGCTGGACCTCTGACTGGTTGGATAGATTATCATATCCCTTTTAATGCTGAACAAGGCACATCCATTTCAAATCTGCCCTTGACTTGAAACAGATCTGGGTCAGCGAGGATTGAAGAAGGTTTGATGTAGAGGGCTAGCCTAGCCATTGACTCCGTGAGGCGAACGCCCCAGCCCAAATCACAGTGACTTGACTTCAGCTTCCGTCCTGACGGTGCTCCAGCGCCCGGCCCATGTTTAGATGGAAGATGTGGATCCGCGATGGCATCAGCTGCTTTAGTTCCTTGTCTCACTCTACCTGAAGCCAGGTAGCACCCGAAGCATTCAACACCCAATCCTTTGCAGTTCAGATGGATATCATAAAGCGCAAATTCTTCAACTTATGCGGAAAATCAAGTGTTTTCATTTTGATCTTGGTGCTGGGTGGACTTTTGTAGCCCGCCTTTCGCCGAGCGGCGATCTCCCGAATCAAGTGAGAGCCAATGGAGAGAAGTCGAGGCTCCAGTTGACCAGGAGATCCCATGTACATTGGCTCACCGGACCAGCGAAGTGCTGGGTGCATCCGAATCATAGATTTGAACAAAGTTCTGAGAAAAAAATGCAACAAACTGACCGATTAGTTTTCTCTATGGGGTTGAAATCAGCAGCGCAATGCAGCCTAATGCCATTTTTCTGGGTTCAGCCATCATCGCATCATGTGATTGCCATCACCCTTGCAAAGCCTTGGCTTGGTGTGAAGAAAATAATGTGTGAGGGCCAGAGACAGAGAGACAGGTTGGATCAATACTGACATATCCCATTTTCAGATGAGCAGCTCACATCATCTCACATCCCATTTCGACAACCATTCTGGCAAAGCGTGCAGACATGGAATTCTGGAGCAGCAAAGCTGTGACCCTCCATCATATTACATCATGTAATGTTATTAGTTATTACCTACGGTGCATCACATTCCATTCCAGGACAGTGATCGAAGCAAGAAAAGGTATTACACAGATTTACACAGCATGCTTGAAGCCAAAGTGCTGTGGTCGCGGAAATGAGACCATGGACCCGGCAGCTTCAGTCGGGAATCTCAGTCCGACTTTGCACCTAGACCCAGGGCCTTCCATGTGTATTATATCATGTGTATAATGCTGTTTGCGAGAATATACTATATACATACTATGTACAAAATAATGGCGTATATTAAGATAATATGTGTATTTTTATATATTCTCACACCCCCATGATCTACCAAAATGATCCCCAACGAAGGTTTTACCCTATCTTTCCCCATGGCCCACCTTTGACCACTATGCAAGACCCTTTTGGTGCTCTCTGCTCATAAAAGGTTGATGTCACTTTGGAGATGCAGAAATAACATGAAATAAACATTGGCAAGATGGGAAGAAACACGTGTTCAAAGCATTTGATTTGCAGAAAAAATGTTGTTACAAGAAAATGCTGCTTACAGGTTACAATCTGCCTTGAAGACAAAATATTCCCTCAGATAAGAAACACTATTCTTGCAAGAAAACTATCATGTGTGGAAGGATGCAATACAGGCTTTAATGAAGCTCATCCTTCCTCTCACTTCTCTTGTATGACCATGGTTTTCTGTTTTTTTTGATGAAGTAGAGGTAATAGAGTAAGAATAATGCGTTGACCAAACATATTTTAAATACAATGACTATACTGAGATGACCTAAGGCCTGAATTTCTGATCGCGAACCAAGACAACACGAATAGGTTCTGCTTTCGCTTTGAAAAAGGTCAGGCAGCAATGACCACCAGCGTGGAACCGACCAATTTGGATCCTTTAAAATCCTTTAAATAATCTTTAAATGCGTTCTCGCTTGGCAAGTTGCTTTGTCCTTTGCGGGTCCTTCCACTGCCGTGGCTTGCAAAAACACATGGTGGCACGCGGTCTCTAAGAGACAGACTGTGCAGCCAAACCGTTTAGTGGTGTTCGCCGCAAATCATGCAAAATGGGTTGAAAATGCCTTTTTTCATGGACAGTGACAGAGGTGATTTATTTGCTTGAGCTGCTTTGAAGTGTCCAGATTCAAGTCATCAGTGGATTTGGCATTCCCTCATGTCAGAGGCTAGTTCGGCATCCAGCAATCCAAGCTTGATTGAACTGGTTAGCAATCTCAGAGTGGAGAGGTAAATGTTCATGTTTACATGGCTCAAATGCAATCGATTTGGATTTCTACAGATCAACATTACTTCATGCATCATATTAAATATCATTAGATTATACCAAAATGACTGACTATCGCAAACATTTGAGCAAGGCACTGCGAAGCTGTTCTTTGTCGTTGTTTCAGCCTGCAAAGACTTCAAAGCTTCGCCATGAGCGGCCAGAGCTACATATGAATTGAAGATGATTGCAGAAGAGTCACAATGATTGAAGGTACTTGACCAACTTGACCAATCTTCAAGCTACAGATGCTACAGTTCCAGAATATTCCATTGCGATAGGAGTCAATGTTGTTTCTGAGTGGCTGGAAGATCAAGCAGTACAGTGCATTGCCAGCACGGCAGTTGGCAAGCCATGTTTGGGCCAAGAAATGAGTTACTGCACGAGTCCTGGACGTTGCTTGGCTAATTTGTTGTTTAGAGAGGATGCAAAATTTCATGCGACTTGAACTCACATCGCAGCTATAGTTCTTATTCTCCGCTTCTCGACGGAAACTCTAGCAAAATCGAACGCTAGTGAGATGGACCACGGAATGAAAACTTGGTTTGACCAGTACGCGCCCTATCCCCGCAAATTTCAATGTTGTGCGTGGGCTTTGCGTCTGGCGATTCGCATTGGTGGACGAACAAATCAAGCACTCAATGAAAGAAAACTCTAGAAGCTTTGACAAACATTAGGGGTGGGGTTTCACTTTCTAGATGTCTCAGGGGTTGATTTTTGTGCAACTACCATGGGACGAGGATTTTTCATTCTTCATCCCGAATACGTCCTCTATGTGTACAAACATGAGTCTGCCTTGTGCCCCTCCACTTTCTGTTGCGGGGCCTATAACTGATATTAGCTTTGCATCTAGATCTACATGGGAGAAAGGATCTTGTCATATCTTGCCAATCTTTCAGAAAGGGGAATTCACAGTTGTAACAACGAAAGGAGCTAGCCATCAACGGTGCACAAGTTCTGGTACAATTTCCAACTTTATGTAGTCCAGCTTGCAGACGTTTGCAGACGCTTGCGGTATTGAGTTGAGTTGGACCGGTTCAGAGGTGGTGTTTGGCCGCGGCTTCGGGCGGATTGGCAATCCTCCTGCTGCTGGTCTCCTGTGTCTCAGCTCTTTTGATACATGCTAACAGCAGACCTTTCAGGAAACCAATTTCTTGACTTGCCATTGACTACCTGAAAGCCTCCCTTGTTTCTTTGTGTTGGTCTTTAGATGTTTGTTGTCCATGTAGTACCTTTTGAAGATCTTTCATTTTTCCATATTTCACAAGTTACTTCTATGTTTTTCAATCATGTCCAGTGATACTGTACTGCTTTGTGAGGTCTATGTATACTGTATGTTCACACACGGGTGGAAAAAACGGCCGACAAAAAGAGATCCATGCGGTGAGTGGCAGAGCATGGCCCATGGCAGAGCTATCACCACTGAGCACTCCCGAGGTTGGCAGTCCAGGAATGTGTTGGCCAGGCCGGGCCGGATCTCTGTGACACAAGGTACACAGCAAGATGAATCCAAGCATTAGAGACACCCCAAATCCACAAAGCGATCCAAAACGGCTATTTAAGTCTGTGGGGAAACCTTCAGTTTGGGGCACTCCCAATTTGTGTACCCGTGTCAGCATAGAAAATTGAAGGGACACCTTGCTGTTTTGTGTTTGAAGGATCTTAGTTTGCTTCGGCCCGCACTGTTTCTGATGCTAGGAATTCGATGTTTTCAGGATCGTTTTCCCCATGAGGTGTTTCCAAGATCCGTGATACCCAAACCCCATCCCAAACACCACTGAACTACACCCAACATGGCATGAATGTCCAGATGCACTGGGGTATGCGGCACCCAAAATCAGTTACCATACCTTGAACGTGGGCAGGGGTTTTCGTTCGGCCAATCACCGAAAGAAGCTTTATATAAAATCACAAGACTTCAACCCTCAGTTGTAGGGGTGTGAAAGTCACTTCTACTTCTCACCGATCATTTTTGGTATTTGCCAGCAGAGTGTTTCCTTGTTGCAGACAAAAGTTCCACCACGTCCTGGCAATGCTTGGCTTTGTGGCACTTCCACCATTGCTTTGGGCACTGACCAAACTGCTTCTTGGTGGTATTGGGTTGTCATGGTTCAGGGCTATTATGGGCTATTTAATTCAACAGATCTGGATGTCGAACCAGAGGCAGGAGTGTTGTGGATTCAGACTTTCCCTTCTCTTTGCATATGAGTAGGTCAAAAGCGAAAACCCCAAATTGTGTACTGATGCACATTGCAACATGTCATCTACATATTCTGCTTTTCGAAGCAGTCTGTGTGGTGGTTAGCATGAAAATCAACGCGATGGGGTGAGCTGTGAAAACAATGTGGGGCCTCTCCCTTCTTTGACATACCCACAAAGCACACATACAATCAGTGTCGCTGTATCCCTATGATTGGGTTTCAGGCTGGGTTGCAGTGCACTTCTCTCCCAGCTTTTGTCATTTGTGAAACCCTTGTAAATCAGAGATATGATTAGTTCGATGTCCCCATCATTGTCAATGACTTCCTATCGTTGGTTGTATCAATGTATGGTTTTTGATTCCTCCCCTTGGTTGCAAACACAGCACTATATATTTATAGTTGCATTTATCATCCTGTATTATTGGCAAGATTGTTGTTGTGCTTACACTCGAATCGTCGTTGGTTGATTCTGATCATCGTCGCTTGTGTCGTCCTTACTGAGTCTAATAGTTGTGTTGCTTTGTCCACTCATTATCAAGCTTTTTTGAGTGTGTAATTCTGCATTTGTTTTAGAGAGGGAACAAAAAAAATAAAAGCATATCAACATTGCTTGCCTGCCTTTTTTGGTGGGTTTTGCCAGTTATTGTGAGCACCGATTTTCAGTAGTATGCACCGTACTTATTTTCCCTGTTGCAGTTGGTCATCTACCCACAGTGATGTTTTACCCAAGAGTTGATTGGGCTTACTGGACCCCATTGATATTTCAGAGGTACTAATAGGGCCCATCATCCTAACTACTATTGCATCTATTTCTCATTAGGGTTGATTCATCCACAATGGTAATTTAGTAGTTATACAACTTATATATATATATGATGTTATATGAATATGCATGTATATGCAAATATAGATTTATTCTACATATTATATATAGCCGATGTTCATGGCCACTAAAACCTCACCTTTCAGGTGCTCCAGCCTTGGGCCTCCCGGAAAAAATGTTATACACATAATTAAAAAAACATACTATACACTTCTATACACATAATATGTGTGATGTTGATGTCTATATCATTTTCTATGCATCCTAGGCTCATTGGCTCAAGGGCCAATGCATCCCGTCGCATGGGCTCAGGCACCTGGCGTGGATTTGCATTCCCATCGGGATGCTTCTTGTGCCTGAGCTGCAAACGGCAGAAAGCTGATTCTGGAAACTATCTACCTCTTCTATATGATACAATATATAGATATATATTAATATCACACATATATATATGATATATGATATATATATATATATGATATATGATATATATATATGATACATATGTACACACACACATATATATATATACATATATCATGCGTATATATGTGTATATATATATCATGTGTATATGTATATTATATATATTATGTGTATTAACAAATGATCTCATTCTTGTCAAAAAATGGAGACCCCTGAGAAATGGTAAGAAACGTTTTTTTTTGACTGGAAGCAGATAAACAGCACACCATTGAAAATTGGGTTCTGGTTTCCTGGGGGATAATTAGACTTACAACCATTCTGTTGCGAGGTAGTTTATTGACAGGGAGAAAGATTCACCTAATACAAACGGATTCAATCATGACATTTGTAGGTATTCAGAGGAAATGTGAACCATCACTGATTGCATGATTGAAACCCATATTGAACTCCATGTGTACGAACATTTCAAGGAGGTAATATCATATATAGCCGCGGATCAAAACCTGACTCCTCAAAGTGAGCGGTAGTTGACATCCAGCCGAGTAGTGGACTTGGGAAACACATACTGGCGTATGGGAAGTCGGCCATCATGACCCAGTGCGACAGGCCCAGGCATTATTGTAGATGCAGTTGACCCCATTCGAGCTGAGTTTGGAGGGTCAGCAGCTAGTGGCAAGTTGAGGTGTTCGGCAGTGCTGGCCGTTGGTGCTGTGTGGAGCTAAGGGATTTCAGACCTTGCTGAGATGGTTTTTGTGCTGGTGCCTGTCATCTACACTTGAACCTTGAACTCCTTTAGCATCTTTAGCATTGCTTGGATTTAATTAAGTCATTCTCGAAGTCTAATCCTTTTCGAACATGCTGTCTCGGCCACCTAATTTTTCTCCCTCATTGAGCCAACGCTTGTGTAGGCTTGTCCAAAGATGTCCAAGGGATATGGATTCAATTAAGTGACAACCCTGTCAAGTGTCCCATAGGGTCCCTGGAACATGCTTTGCCATACTATTTTGAGAACGGTCGTTTATATCACATCCAAACAATCCATTTGCTGTTGGGAAGAGTCTGAAACCGGCTGAGGTACCTGTACTCTTGTTCTTCGCTCACCTGAAACCAAAGAGGATTTCAACGAATCACCTACATGGACAGAGGGTCACTGAGACTCTACCGTCGGACATTGCGGGAAAACATCCAAATGCCCAGCTGAAACACTTCGAACAACTCTGACTTTTCATTGCTTCCCTCTACATCCTCTACCTTGGGTGATTCAAATCGCTGGGAACTGGTACAGCTGTCCGCATCGACATGATTCGACATGCCCTATGGATCAAAGTACATCCACGCTTCGCGCTGAGCTCCACAGGAAGACTCAGTGACTGCAACGGGGCGATATCGAACTGTGCAACACAGAGATGACTGGCAAAAAAATCAACCACCCACAGGTTGTGAACGTGGAGACAGGCCAAAGGCATCTCAAGGCTAATTAGGTGCATTCTCAGACTTGGATGAAGTGCCAGAAGGCCAGTTGTAGCCTAGCTCCACTCTTTTGTTGGAAATTTCCAATCTAGTAGGACAGTCAAGCTTTCACTTTATTCAGTGGTGTTTGATTTCGATCTGTAGCTGAGATGGTTTCATGCCAGCAGTGCTGGAAAGGTCAGAGCCCCAAATGTGGTTTTGGATGGTTTTGGATCATGCAGAATGAACAGACACAAAGGATGCATTGTGCTCCAGCAGATGAATTGATAGAGAAATCAGATGGTTCCAGATGCCATGGGTTCCGATTGTGCTTCCGTGTTTGAGTAGTTGGAAGATCTTGGAGGCTAACATTTTTCATCATAGTTTCATCATAATTTCTCCGGTTCTCGTCATTCTTACCCCCCAGTGTTTGACTTTTCACGCTGGTAGCTGATGACTCCATGAATCCACCGGGCGCAGTCAGTAACTGCCATGGCGTTTGCCGTGGCATTCTCAGTTGGGGCAGACATACCAAACAGGTTTCAACCCGCCTGCAACATCTTGCAACTTTCCTAACAGACCAATCAACCAGAGGTGCAAGTGACATATAATATCATATAATAACATCCTGCCATGCTCAAAGCCTCACAAACCCTAACTGCTTACACGTCCTATGCTTGTGGGCACAAGACAAATTCCACTTCAATATGCCAGAACTCCTTGCAAATACCAGTGTTTTGGAAGACTCAGCCAGATGCTGCGGAGAGACGTGTTTACCCGGAGACATCCTGCATGTTTTACCATATTATATATATAATTATATGTTTTGAAATGTTTTGTTTGGAGACGCGTTTGTTCCTTTGCAATCAAAAACAATGTCTTTTTCCATGTTTTAGCTTTGGCTGAGTACGTAAGCCCTGAAGGAGGCTCTTTGATCAGTTGTTCGTCAACAGAAACATTCACAGTTTCCAGCCGAAGCGCCAGTTTGACACTGATGCATTTCCTATGACATCTCGAAACCCGGAATGAATGCTTGCATTTGTCTGTGTAAACATATGTTTGCAAACAAAACGAGGACAGATAGCTGTGATTGCACGCTTGGATACACGATCGGAATCGATCGGATCTTTTTACATATTTCTTGATAGCTTTGTGATAGCTTTGTGATGATTCGAATCAACTGCATCAACCTGGAGTTTTTCTCTGGTCGCGGAGGTCTGCAGCAATGGCCCTGCCTGTCCCAAAGCATGGCAGTGGGGCCTGAGCCCAGCCAATAGCCAAGATTTTTACCACGGTGGGTTGGAGCGCGAGAGCACAACATGTGTTGGGTTGTTGTCCTTAACTACCACTACTCGATCTACTCGGGTTTGCTGCTTCCACACCTCAATCATCCACTCCGATTGGCCAGGACTATAGTTTCCTGTCGGTTGGCTAATGATGATAACGATGGCTTACTCTTTGCACCAGTTTGCACTCCAATTTTGCAGAGAATATATCACAGTTGATTTAATTTAATGTCACCTCTAGTTGCTGGGTGGTTTGGTTTTCGTTAAACCTGTATTTCTCCCAAGCATCTCAGGGGCACAGGTATCAGAGGATGTGGTATGGTGGCGCGCCGTATACAATAAACATCATTAGCATTAACAGGCTATTATAGAACGACATAAAATGGCACGAGGCTGTCAACCATGCTTGGACTATCTTGGACCTATGCCCAGTGTATCTGACGAGTCTGTATCATGTGCACCGTGTACCTCCATCTATACTCTGTGGTGGTTGAAGGGGTGAAGATGGTTCATGCACAAGAGTTCTGTCTAGGTGGTGCAACACCTTACGGACCTGTTCAGACTGTGCTAAAAGGCCATGGGATGCCATGGGCCATATCTTCCGTTCCCGATCCCAAGAATTCTGGATCGCATCCCCATTCCCCTGCTATTCCAGTGCTGAGTTCTAACACGACAACAGAAAGATGGTGGAGTGCAGGCCCGCAGCTGCCAAACATCAGTAGAACATGTGGAACAGCATCGACGTTTGTGCCGCTGTGGATTGAAGTCTGGCGGAGAGTGCAGGTCCAGGCTTATCTTGGTGGATTCAAATATGATTTTCTTTCCCCTGCTTGGAAGCATCCTTGGAACGAGTTTGAAAACCACAAAGAACTGATTGAGAACCCAGCCTTTGAATTTGGCTCATTCGTGCTACACAGGTCTTTATCCATACCTTACGTGCCCATCACATCAGTAGATCTCGGAGCATGCAAATATTAACGCTTTGTCAGAGTTTATGGCATGCCACGTACCTACTTGGCCAGAGCCGCTCGCATCTATGGGGCCGAAGGGGATAGCCAGCAAAGGTTGCAACTCTAGCATGACAAAATAAACGTCATGTCTTGCATTGGCAACAGAGCAAAACAACCACCTCCAAGCAAGCAATGCTCGTTGATAAATGCCACAACCCACCGACTATAGAGACCCTTGCAGCCATGGTTGCCATTGGTGCTGATGGCACTGCAGTGTCATGACGAGCCTCTTGAAAACGTCAAGTCCTATCACATCACTCTCCGCTTCGCCAGAGTTGGGGTTGCGTGGCAGACGCTGCAACTTGTAGGATTTGGGGTTCGAGCGTAATGATGGAGAGATTTTCCAAACCAGGTCATACGACGATACGAGGCCTCTACACAACTTCAAACTAAAGAATCCTTCCAATTCAGACACGGCGATACTGTAATTCCAAATGAATCCAAATTTCTGCCCAGACAAACATGATCAAAATGTCGTTTCATCTCTTTTTCAGGTTTTTCTTGTTTCTTCTCTGGCAACTCAGTCTGGCCCAGGCTTCTGCTGCTCGGAGATACTTCCGGCTCGGTCATTTTGCTGGACTTGAACACAGGTGCTCAATTGACACATCCAAGCAGATGCTTCACATGCCTTCACAAGTCAAATCAAGTCAATGTATCCAAAGTGGTGCTGGCTCAGCCATTCTTCCTTTTGGACATCCACGCTTGGCGAGCGGCTAAAGCATGTGCACATGTGCTGCATATATATATATATATATTATATAATTATATATATATATAATTATATATATATGTATATATACATATGTATTAATCATATGATTAATTATATATGATATATATATATATTATATGTATATGCTATTACAATGCTATCAACATCAACTCTCCAATCCATCGGGCACCGCATGGCCCGGTGCTCGTGCCAGGCTGTGAACGGCAGAAACTCCAACTGGCAGATCCCGTCCTGGCGGTGGCCTTGGCACATCCCATCCGTGCCCTGCTGGCGGCTGGTGGTCGAGCAGTCACTGAGAGCTCCACAGTGGCGGCGCCGTGGCGGCCGTGGTGGGGTGAAAGCCGGTGAAAGCGATAGGAGTCGATGATCGGGAAAACATATGAAAAACATGAAATCAATGAAACCAGCATAAGAACCATGAAACATGAAAATGGTATGACGGCGAATCCAGGTATATTCCATTCAAACCATTCATGGAATTGGCATGTGTTGTTCATTCAAAACAAGTTGTCTCACGGCACAAAAGGAAGCATCATGCTAAGGTATGGGATGTGGATTCAGGCACTCTGCGTGCTGAGATGAAATACAAACATCTGGCTCCTTGGCGGCAGGGACTTTGGGGTAGCTTTTTTCTGACAGGCACAAGATGATTGAAGATCTGCTGGAGCTTACATCCAGATCTGTTCAGCAGGAAAAGTGACAGTTGCGAAGAGATGCAAAGACCTTTGACATCCTCTGACTTTGCATTTCTCAGGTCACGTCCCTTACTTTCTCGCCGTCACTGCGAGTGGCCATCACTGGAGACGGAAGTTTCGATCAGAAGAACACAACGGGTCGAGACACTTGGAGTCAAAACGGAATTGGCTTGGTGGAATATGGATGAATCTGGCATGGTCGTGTAGAATTTTCATGAAGTTTCCCATTCATGTTTGGGCAAATTTAAGTGTAATTGCACATACATACGAGGTGTACACTACGGTATACTGTCTACAGAGACGTACTGTGTTGGTAAATATTGGTACGAAATGTTGAGGGCCGTCTCATTGAATCTTGAGTCCTTCATGACTTGTTTCCCTTGTCCGCATGCCTGCGCAAGAGATCAGATTTGCGAATCCTGCAATTTTGTTGTTGAGGAAGTTCACAGTCTGTCCATATTTGGCTGATTCCTCTGGATTCGTCGTAGCATAGGGCTGCGGCAGGGTTGCCCAAAACATCCAGGTTATCCACCCTCAGCATGACCCAAACGCCAAGGTCGTTTTGTGGAATCCGGACACCTTGGAACAACATCGGAAACTGCCCTGTGCAGGTGCTGTCACCTGTGTAATATGTACCCCTGATGGTGCCTTGGACCGTTGGACACGCAGACACGAGGTCGGAAACGCGTTGTGCAACAGAGGGTTTGGTCCAACTCAAATGACAACATTCACAACCCCGCACATAACTTTAGAGACAATCCCTCTGAAACCCATGGAATCCTTTGCGAAGGTCATAGGATCAGTGAACAACTGTCTTCCTCCCTTCCTCCCAGGGGTGAAGAAATGTCTCATCATTCTCTACAGTAGTTCCGGAAACTGAAGTTTGTCCGCGAAATAATGGCGTGCAAATCACCTGAAGATTCAAGTGTCGTTGGGCAATGAACAAGTTCGGCAGTTCATCACCCAATTCAACTTGTCTATGCAGCATGGATAGTCACGTCGTCTTGTTTTAAAGCTGTTTGGCGGCCAACTTTTGACAGATCAGGTTTCATTCTCTCAGCCGATCGCAGTCGAAACATTTGCAAGTGGCATCCTGAGAGCGGAGAGAAACTGCAGGTTGGTCGCGGGATGCTCATCTGTTGCCGCTGGTTTTCCACTCGTTGAGTAAGCCTTATCAAGTGCGGATTTAGATATGATAATATGATTGGATGGGGTCTCCTCTTTTTGCCAAACAAGTGCAGCCTCACCTTTCCAAAGCTGATCAGTTTGAAGCATTGAATCTGAGACTTTGCGAACAATTCCATTGCAATATCATGCAATGGCAATATCTTTGTATTTCCTAAGAGTGTAAATTACAGGGATCAAAGTCTTTGCTCCAGGAGTTTAGTCTTTGAGGGCTGAACAAACAAACTGGGCTATGACAGCTACAGGAGATTCCTGTAGAGCAAGGGCTTCCCTGGTGCTTGGCTGCCGACGAGGCTGCTTTCTCTTGGTATCGAAGAGCTAGTGTGGGTATGTGTTTTAAAAAAGCGTATAAACAACCAATATACATCTGATACAACCAGCAAAAGGCAAAAGTATGGCTGTAGAATGATATAGACATAGAATTTCAAAAAAAACAATAGAATAATGCAAATGATTATACAGGTCTAGATCCTCTCGCCACTCATTCTTTGACACTTCCGGGAAGTTGAATTCCCAAGATGGTTCTGAAGCTTAGAAAATGCCCCAATATGACGCATCTATTCCTGCCTGTGTACCCTGTGCTATCATGAGTATTCGTGTGTGTGTGTGTGCAGGGCACTCAGTGGTTCGATGGTCTGTGTGGTTTTCCCCAGAGGCGCAGAGATTCTTTATCTACTCTGCTTGCAACTTCAAGGAGAACTTCGGCTGTCTTTGCCTTTTTGGTGATACATTAGAACAGTGGCTCGCCTGAAGCAAACGTGAGCGATCCGGCGGTGTTTTGAGAAATCCAATCAAATGGATTCAAAAGGCACGTGACCGGACATGACACATGTCCTTCGCATGGGTAGGGATTTGGGCTGCAGCCTGCTCGCAGCGGCATTGCAACATATTGCAAGATATTTGGGTTGTGCTCCCTTTGGATCCAAGCTTCGATCACGGTGCCATAGAGGACACTGTTCCATGCTGTTCCTAGGTACGAGGAATGTGGACATCCAGTGCTTTCTGCGGCTTTCTTGCCGGACGCACCCGTGATTGTCGTCGGACTCCGTCCCTGGCAGCAAATGGCCTGGGGGAATTTGCGAGACCTTAAAGGATGAAGTCATGACCTCAAACTTGGTGACTCACCCAATGCCAAATTGAATGCTTCAATGAAATTTAATTATTGGCCAATCTGTAGCTTTTTGTTAGCTAGTTCAGAACAATTTTCCTACTATACAGACGATACACACAAGGGATGCAATTTATAAAGGCATTTATGCCAGATCTGGCAAGTACTCTTTTGCGGCTTTTTGGTGGGTCTGTATTTATGTTGGCGGAATATACATGTGGGATGACCATGGTGACAAGCTTCAAAGGGACCATGAGGGACCTTGACCATGGGACATATGGGACGCTGAGGCAATGGAGACATCATCCTGTGGGACTTTGAGGTCAAAGCACGTCGGAAGCTGTTGAAGATGACCTCGGCTGTCAATGCCCTGGCCCTAAACTTGGTGTCTGGGCGATGAAATCTTTGGAGATCGGACAATTCATGACAATTCTATAGTCTTGAAATGTATTGAAAACCCCAATTCAAAGAAACCGCGGACTTTTGTGGCTGATGGGTTTTAACCAGTGGTTGTTTTTGAGGTGAGAGGAGAGCTCGTTGCGGGTGACAAGAGCGGACAGCTTTGCAGTTGGTTACTTGGCATGATGGGGTATCAGGTCCAAGTAGAACTAATCGGATACATGGTATATGACTGTATATAATGTACATGACATGAATATCATGAATATCATGAATGATAGGATAAGATAAGACAATCAACGAGCAAGACTGTGGAATGTTGCCAAAGATCATATTTTTAGGTTTTTCATGGTTTTTCAATAACAAAGAATTTACACATATCCAGCAGTGCAAGGTATAAGACGGTATATGACTGCTATGACGGCGAACAGTTGGGATATCGCCAATCTCAATGAGAATAAAGTCAGCACTGACCAACAATTTGACGTTTGGAGCGGCTTTTACCTTGCCATCCCTTCGAATTCTGGATGCTGCAAGTGCTGCAACATGTTGGGCAACATGTTGCAACGGCTTTGCCAAGGCCACTGGCCTTGTTGCTTTCAGATTGAGCTCTGGTCCTTTCACCTCCATCCTCCGGCGCCAGAAGCATGGCACGGCCGCGGCGACATGGCCACATGAAGCACAACCCGAAGAATCGAAGCACCCGAAGCTGAACACCGTGCAAAATGGTGCAAATACGCGTGCAAACGCACCGACACGCACCGACCATTCCATTGCGATTCACGGCTGACGAAAAGCAACACTTGCACGGTGGGACGATGGAAGTTTGGAGGTCGACTTGCCTGTTACCAGCAAGCACCCAGCGAGGAATGGCCTATTTTTGCCTATTTTTGTAATTTGGGTGTGGATCCAACCACCAAACATGATGTTCAAACTTGTTTAAATGCGTCTGCAAACACAACGTATTCCTCTGATCTCTCGATGTTCCGTGGGAGTGTCACACTCTTGACAATGGCATGAAACTGTGGAGATCTGTGGCGAAACCTCGAGGCATGCTTGGCCGTTGCCATTCTGAGCAGTTCCAGGTGGCCCGGCTGCAAATGGCAAGCCATGTCCAACTCAATTGGTGGAAATCCCAGCATACATAGCGTACATTAGCCGACATGGTTGAAACTGATACAAAAGATCCAGGTATTTGTATCATTTTGTAATATATCTGTAGGAATTTGTAGGTTTCTGCACCATGATAGGTATCCACATCGTCCACGAAACGCACGCTGGAAGGGCGGCCTAAACCGTGACATGACCTGGGCAAGATCCCCTAAAGTATAGACAGTGCTAGTCACTTGTGAAAATCTATATGATTTGGACTTGGACATATTTGGAAAGCAACCAAACAATTTGGTTCGACGATTCAACACGCTTGCAATCTCCTGACAACTAAACTACTAGTACTCAGGTTCACCTTACAGTACAGAATCAACTATAGGATACTATAGATGTAGGAAGATGTATTAAGACATTATTAAGATGTATTTGTGTCGATTTGTGAAGCCTTAGTTACTTTGTTTCTCCCGCACATCGCCCACCTGTTAGTGTTCAAATATGTTCAAATCTCGGCCCGCGACAACTCAGCCATTTCGCGGATGTGGGTAGAGCCAGGTGGTCGTGGAGTAATCCCCCGTTGTACAGAACATTACAGAACGATACCCACCAATGGATTACCAATGGTTCAATCTCAATCCCAGCCTTTGGTGTTTCAATGTCCAAAAATCTGCATGTGGAATATCAGCAACTTGCTCTGAGACGGCAGAGATCTCGCAGATCGGTATCTCGACGTGTACGTGGAAGAGGATTTGGCAAAGGTTTTGGCCAGGGACCACAGAGAGCACCACAGAGAGTACCACCTTCATTCTGACACTGGGAACCATATCTGCTTTTGCATGGACATCTGGTGAAATTTGGCTCAGCAACTGCCAGGAAGATATGTTCATCCCGGTCGGAAAGTTTATATTTTGTATCCCGTTCTTTTTATTTCCTGGAGATATCATTAATCTCACTGGTCAAAGTGGTGTATACCAAACACGTTCTGGACATGTCTGGAATGTGAACTGCTTCGCAGTGACGCTAAGGCATTGAAGGCGGAAAACTCGTTTGGACAATGGGATTGCAGCCAGTGGGGATCCTCGGTGTAGCAATGCAGTTGAGTGGTCAGCCACAGCGGGTCTCATTCAAGGTTCATCCATGTTCCATTCTTTGGTTTCTTCAAGTCAGATCATATACCTTCAGATTCAGAGGAATCCTGAGCTTGAGCTTGATGGTGTTTAATTATTCTAATCAAGTTGCACATGAGCTGCACCCAATGAGTGGATTCCCAGCATCGCTGCATGCGGATAAAGCGTGATGAAATATCATGAAGCATGAAGATATCATTGCGTGATGAAGCATTCCATAGCATTTCCTTTTTCGCAATTAACATGCAATTGCTGCGGTGGCTGCAGGTCAAGCTCCCACGTGAGTTGCAGGTACCCACGCTTTGGACAGATTCTGGTCTTGGGAGGACTCCAATAGAATGGATAGGAGCTGGAAGACAAACCTGTTCATCAAGTCATCCATAAGTCATCTCTAAGTCATTTGAAGTCTCAATACCACTCCTTTGTCATACATACTTTGTCTAGTGATACAGTGATACACATGGGATTAATGTCTGAATAGACTAAATAGACGTGATCATGGCACTCATTTCAGACGCCGTTTTCACATCCTCGTGCACCGTTGGTGTGCACCGTTGGTGGGTCTGACGTCCTGAGGCATTCACCAACATAGAGAGAAAAGGAATGAAAGGAATAAATTTATATAAATTTGAGAAATCAACCGTCGGGAGTGGTAGGGAGATGGAGAAATTGAATGAAATTGACACATCACATGTGTCATCACAGAGAGTCACATGTCCTACTTGACATTACTTGACTATGTTTGAGATTTTTCGCTTGTTGTTCGCTTGAGGCGTGGCTGAAGACCCTGCAGCCTGAAGTCAAAGAGGTAGAGAGGGGGAGGCGGTTTTCAAACTGGTTCTATAGTCTTCAGCTGCAGCTCAGGACAGTTTGGCATTTTGGATGGTTAGTTGGATGTCAGTTGGTTCGTCCGTGAGTTGTGGATGGGTCCAGTTCTTTCACATGCCCAAAATGGGACATGGCTGAGGATTCATATACTTTCACTAGCCTTGGTATGCCTTGGGATGTTGCAGCGACCATGGGACACTCGAATGGAATCGGATCACAGCTTTGACCCATGTATATAAAACATTATAAAACTGCTACACCAGGTGATCAGAGCCATTGAGGACAACTACGGCCACAAAGCTTGGACGTTGGCTCAGCGAAAGAAAAAAGAGAGACTGGGCAGGTAGCACCACCGTCATATATAACATACGTTTAAGGGCTGCCGCCCCTGCAGCCCGGAACACAAGCCGGAGAGGAATATTGGCACATATTGGCACACTGCTAAAATTGAGCTTAAAACATTTTGCCAAAACACAACACATTGGACAACACTAAAGACAACACTTGCAAAACAAATTAAAGTGTCCCAACGTTGGGCACTGGCAAAAGTGTCCCAAGACTTCCAGGGACACCGCTCGAAACGCTCCAACACCACCTACTTTCTGGTCAAAAACGTGCCAAAATATAATAAGAATAATGAATAACGTCCTTTCTAAATATCTAGAAAGCAGACATTTGCAAGCTATGTGGTGAAGCTTTAGCGTTCCAAGATGTTCCAAGGCTTTATATAAGGGACATCACTCAAAATGCTGAATTTCGTGCCAAAAACGTGCCAAAAGAGAACCAGAAAAACACACCAATAATGTTCCTTCTGAAGCCCTAGAAAAAGAACATTCTGCAAGCCGCGCGGTGAAATTTAAAAGCTTGAAAAACTGGATCAGCAACACGTACAAAAGGTGTCCCAACATGTCCCAACTGACACCACTGGAAACGCTGAAACACCACCTAATCCAATCATTTGCAATAAAATCCCAAAGACTCTAAGGGACACCACTCGAAACGCCCACAGACAGCATTCAAAACATGTTGATGTTGTTGCTGTTGCTGTTGTTGTCGTCGTCATCATCGTCGTCATTGTTGCCGTTGTTGTCGTTACTCTTCTTCCCTTACGCGCTCCCCCTTGCGCAGCCGGGGTCGGCGGACAGCCGGGGTCGGTGGATATAACATTGACCGCACTTCACTGCTCTCAGCTTTCTGAGTCGTTCAACCTCTGGGAGGGTGACAGTGATGGCCAAGGATTGTGGGAGGGGCTATTCGCGATGTATTGCTGGGTGTGGAGCCGTCATTTTCTAAGCCAGATTTGATCATGGCACAGGATTCCATCAGATTCCATCAGGTTTCATCAGGTCAATCCGCTTTGATGCGGATACTACCAGCCAGTTGGGGAAAAACAGGATAAATCCAACAGAATTGGGCATTGAAGGCGAAAAACCGATTATGTTTGTACCCAGCGATGTGACGATGTGACTTGATACCGACACCCAGTACCCCTCAAACAGCCAGCCAATCTTTAGGTTGTGATCTCAAACTTCGAGACAGTGATCTCAAACTTCGAGACATGAACTGTGCAATCTGTGCATGAGTGATCATAAGTGTGCTTCCATGGACGGATCAGCTGACTTCAGGTCAGACGTGGACATTGCCACGACTATGTCCCCTCAGTCACTTCAACAGGCCGTTCACGACAAACACGTCGGGCCTCTACTTGCCACCACTTTTTTTGTGGATGTCAGCTATTTATCGCTGAGGATTTTGAAGAAATTCAACATTTTATGTGGACGAGGTCACATGTCGGAGGTTTGGAGGCATACTTGTAGATCTTGCCACTTGCAACCATCAAATCCGTAATTACAGGCGAAGTTTCACCCATCTAAGTACATTATATATATATATATTCAATAATATATATATATATACATAACATAACATAACATAACATACCAGTAGTACCGCACAAGGCGGTTGCGGAAGTTTCAAAAATAGGAAACCTATAGGAGAGATTGGTTGTTGTGAATCAGGGATGGCAGAGCGAAGCCACTGATGGATCGAAAGACGATTGATCTCTCTCACTCTTTCTCTGACTGTCTACCTACCTACCTATCTATCTAGCTATGTATCTATCTATCTATCTATCTATCTATCTATCTAGCTATCTATCTCTCCCTCTCTCTCTTTCATTTGATTACTCTATCTATCTATCTATCTATCTATCTATCTATCTATCTATCTATCTATCTCTCTCTCTCTCTTTCATCTGTCTATCTGTCTAGCTGTCTAGCTGTCTACCTGTCTATCTATCTATCTATCTGTTTGTCTGTCTGTCTGTCTACCTATCTATCTATGGTGCACCTAGCTACCTACCTACCAATCTATCTATCTATCTATCTATGTATCTATCTATCTATCTATCGATCTATCTCTCTCTCTCTCTTTTCATCTGTCTCTCTGTCTAGCTGTCTACCTGTCTATCTGTCTATCTATGTATCTATCTATCTATCTATCGATCTATCTCTCTCTCTCTCTCTTCATCTGTCTCTCTGTCTAGCTTCCAAACGTGGTCGGAGACCGCCAGTTTTTAACACTTTTGACTTCAGAATGTGCTTCGCGCCACAACGGCGTGCACTTTTTCGACATCTTGACTTCCAAAAGTGGTCCGGACCTGGTGTGTTTTGTACATTTTGACTTGGAAATGTGCTTCGCGCCACAACGGCGTGCACTTTTTCGACATCTCAACTTCCAAAAGTGGTCCGAAGCTGAGGTGTTTTGGACATTTTGACTTGGAAATGTGCTTCGCGCCACAACGGCGTGCACTTTTTCGACATCTCAACTTCCAAAAGTGGTCCGAAGCTGAGGTGTTTTGGACATTTTGACTTGGAAATGTGCTTCGCGCCACAACGGCGTGCACTTTTTCGACATCTCAACTTCCAAAAGTGGTCCGAACCTGGGTGTTTTGTACATTTTGACTTGGAAATGTGCTTCGCGCCACAACGGCGTGCACTTTTTCGACATCTCAACTTCCAAAAGTGGTCCGAAGCTGAGGTGTTTTGGACATTTTGACTTGGAAATGTGCTTCGCGCCACAACGGCGTGCACTTTTTCGACATCTCAACTTCCAAAAGTGGTCCGAACCTGGTGTGTTTTGGACATTTTGACTTGGAAATGTGCTTCGCGCCACAACGGCGTGCAATTTTTCATCTCTCATCTGGCCAGCTGGCTCCGCACCGCCGCTTTAGCGAGCCTACTTTTCGAGCCTCCGGAGCCACAAATCATTGGAAAAACACAGTGTTTCGCGACTTTCCTACCTTTTCGCGCATCTGCATCTTCTTTCTTCTGACTCTTTCTCTTCTCTGATCTTCTCTCTTCTAATCTTTCTCTTCTCTCTCCCTCTGCCCTGCTCTGCTTTTCATCTGTCCATATTGTCGGAAGTTTGACTTCTAAACTTCCTTCGAACATAACATAACATAACATAACATAACATAACATATAACATAACACAACGCAACATAACATAACCACACCACACCACACCATACCATACCGTACTATACCATACCATACCATACCATACCATACCATACCATACCATACACACATACATACTTGTAGATATGATATCTATATAATATACTTATCAATCACAAAAAATGGATATAATATATCATATGATTCAATTCTGAATACGTTTGGGAGCAGAATTCAATATTGAATGAATCAATTCCCAGCTGTGGCGCCAGATCTATCCACGGTCCATCATGGCTGGAGCCAAGCGAGGCACCTAGTACAACAAGGCGATCTTCGATGTTGGAATGATTTTGATTGTTTTTTTGTTAAATAATGGTCGTACTACATTTTGGTGCTATTTTCTTTTGGTTAAGTTTGGTGGAAATTACGGACGTTTAAAGACACCTGGGTGGACCTGGGTGGGTCCTGAGGTATGGCGTGATCACGGTGAGGCACAAGGCACTTTCTTTGTTTTTAGGTTTACTGGCTACATCTGGCTACTGTGAAGGCAATCCCTTTTGGAATCTTTTGGACATTCAGTGGATTCAGGAATCTGAAGCTTTTTGAGATTGTTCAACGAATTGCTGTAAAGAGTGTTAATTTTGTCCATCGAAATGGCAGTTGTTACTTTTTCTTTTTCGTGGTCTTATTGTTTGAACATGTTTGAACTCTGACGTTTCTTTTTATGGTTCAATAAATATTGATGATATTGACCACCGAAGAGGGGAACAGCGAAGACCGTCAGGAACTGTTTGTTGAGTGTGCTCTCATCCGCAAACCCCCAGAGAGTCATGAAGGCCAACGCACAGAGGAGGTGGGGTAGTTCTGCTTTCCAAGCGAGCGTCGCATAGCATTGTCAACATGAACTCGACGTAGCAAGAGTTGACTGCAGAATGTGTAAGCTGGTACGGAAAGCAGAAAGAATGGCTGAAAATACAACATCGCAGCGTGGGATGGATATCATCTCTTGCGTGTTGTACATTGTACATCCTGGTACTTTACAATGGCAAGTTCCCGAAAGTTTTCCCGAAGGTTCCCGAAGGTTCCCAAAGGTTCCTGAAGGTTCCGGAAGGTTGCTTGGAAACTCTGGACAGAACGCCGCACAGGTACAACGTGCGGAGAGTCTCTTGGAGGAGAGCCCCGTCAGTCAGGTTAGTTACTGTCCCATTTGATATTCGACAGTGATTCGACAGCATTGAATTATTCTATTCAACTATTGCAACGACAGCAACAGCAACACAACAGCCTCAAAAAGGCCACCTGAATGGATGTTTGAGCGGATCTGCGAAAAATCAGGCAGTGCACAAAATGTCAGGTTTTACCTTCCTACATGTTCCAGGTAGCTTGCTTCTCAATCTCAAGCACATATGCACTTCATGCTTTGATCTTAAAGGTATATGTACATTATATGTACTATATTATCCTGTCACCAAAAGATAGAATTGTCTAGTTTTTGCTTGAGACACAGAGTATGAACTATCTCGAAGATTTTTTATCCTGTGAGGCACCTGTCCCCAATCCTTTCTCCATTCACTTAATTTGTTTGGATGCAATTAGTCAAATTTGCAGCCTACCAAACGTTGCAAGGACTTGTCTGCGAGAGATTTTACTGTGCTCGACACTGAGTGCAAAGTTGCATGCTGCGCTGAGACCTGGCAACTTGCGCATCTCTCACAGATGTTGGAAGTAGCTACGCATCAAAACGAGACGACATGAAATACTAACAACAGCTAAATACCTTGTACAGGCATGATCACTAAAACCATTCACGTGTCTAGAAACCCGCAATACAATATTGCGTATGATTTGGGGCTGGGGATGGTTTATTCTGTGCATTGGGGCTGGGGACTTGGTGGGGTGGGGCAACAAAGTTCATGTCAACTTAAACACGCTCTGGGCTCTTCTCTTACATGCTACACTGGGATCTTCTCTTGCACTTGCACACACACACACACTGTCATGCTACGCTCTGGGGATCTTCTCTTGCACTTGCATACACACGTCATGCAACGCTCTGGGGATCTTTTTTGGCACTTGCACAAAAACGTGATGCTACAACCCAGGCATTTGCGGTCATGACAGTTTTGCAAATGATCTTGTGGATGCAACATGAAAAACCTTATCTGTCTGTGAAACATCTCACAATTTGAAACCTAGATTGTTAGTTTTCCGGACCCTGAAACAAACTTCAAATGATACCAACTAATTCATGTATCTGGAGAATGATTCCTCTAGTTGATCATGACTGTTGCAAAAACATGAGAAAAACAACGGACAAATGACCATGTAAATGGCTGCGGAAGATGCAAGTCAGCTACACATCTCAAAGTTGCAAATCCCTTCAAGCAGAAACCGATGCGGGTTTCTGCATACGTACATGTATACTAGTGTATACAGTTTACATAAATTTCTAATAGTTCGGGCCGGGACCCCAGGTACAAATCTTGGAAACTTGCCCCAAGAGCTCCTACCTTCATATTTCCGCAGAAACTCCATGGCCGTGGATGTGCTGCGGGAGACATTCTACGACCCCTTTGATGGTCGCAAGGATGTGAAGGACGCCCGCTGGCGCTGGCTGTTGACCGGGGCGGCTTCTGCAGAGCCGGCGTGCTGAGGGCGGTGACCAAGCAGTGTGGCATGGTACAACTTCGGAAAAGTGTGCAATGATGTGCAATTTATATACCAGTGCCAGGCTCGAAAGGTCTCTGCTCTTCTAAAGGGGGAACACTTTTGAGCTCGGTATGTCTGGTATAGCCTCCAGGCCTTTGGTAATTCACATGCAAGTTTTTCAGAGCTCCTGCAGTGGCACTGCGATTCATTGGTATTTTTTTTTTAAAATTATTATGGAGGTTTAATATGGTTTAATGAAATAGTCATCCGAAAACCACGGATTTTCCGAATTTCCAGCTACATAAGCTTGCAATTCGGGAACAACAGTCGGACAAGCCATTGCTGCGCCGTATACCATCTAGTGCAAGTTCTGCATCCTCACATCAGTGGATCATCATATCATCATATCCACAAATTTATTTATCGTTGATGCAAATTTGTTTATGATTTAATTATCAACAATTTGTATCAAACGGGATTTATCCATATATTTGTTGATGCAAATCCCGTTTGCTGCTGGTTCAAATCCGATTGCATCCATACGTGCCATGTTCAATAGTTGCATTAGATATAGATATATCGGGATGCTCTTACAACCATTAATCGGAAATTATAACGGCCAATGTAAAAAAAACAATGGTGAGATGACTGTAACTCGTATACTTTCTCTTGACCATGGTATACACGTATGTTTGATTTGATGTAATAAATGATGGGACATCTTTGGGTTATACAACTATGTTTTTGTTGGTTGAATGAGCTAGCCAAATCCATTCAATTTCAAAACCATGTTTTTGTGGCAACTCCTTTGTAAAATGTACACTTTGGGTGGTTACAACCTCGTTTCTGCTGATATATATATATATAAACTATATATATATATATGTATACATAATTATATGTATGTATATATATATATATATGTATATATGTATAATATTTATACACATATATATATATATATACAAATTATATATATATATTATACACGCACACACACACACATATATTTATCATTCTAAATCCATACTCTTGGTGATTAGATCCTAATTTTGCTGTACTTGCATCCTGGGTTCTGAGTGTTTGCAGAACGACAGGAGCGGGTGCTCCGCTCTGTTAGTCGACCAGCTGTCCTGATGGTGCCGCCCCTGGAGGATGTTGGCTGTACGATCCAATACGGTGCTTCAACAATGTTATATAACGCTATATAATGTTATATAGCTACTTGCACATATCAGTCATAACGTACAAACATTGTGTTGACATATATATATATACTGACGTACAAACTATATACTGTACACATGTTTGTTCGCTGCTTTGCCAATAATTTAAATGTGATTCACAATCATTGTTCTTGCTGTGCATATTTCTGACATGCCCAAATTACTGAGATGATTAATGTGAAGAAACCCTTGGTTTCGAACCCCCAAACTTTTGGAAGCAGAAGATAGTGATTGGTGTGGTCCACTTCATTGCATACAACCAGCATGTGGTGGCAAAACTGATGTTTGTTGACTTGTGGCTCATAGCTGAAGAAAGACGCAAAGGAAGGAACACATTCCTCCAAGATTTCAAATCTTCCACGCAGACCATATCAAGCTCTGGCACAGGCAGGCAGTTCCTGCTTGAACTGGATGAGCACCTTCGGATGGCTGCAAGATACAGCAATGATCGTTTCTTGATGGCCAAAAGAACCCCATCCCAAGGTATCATGAAGTGAGTGCAGCAGGCTGATGTGATCCCAATCCGACTTGGTGTCTTGTCCTTGCCCTGTGGCGCGATCAACTAAACCCATAGCCCTGATGCTGTGGCATGGGCCACAGCCATGGCAAGAGTTTTGGCCGGTTTGTCCAGTCCTCAGTTGCCGCCAGATGTTGGATACTTTTCATGAACGTTGAAGTCCCCATCAGTTTCGCAAATGTAGTGTGATGGGTCCAGAAACTGCTGACCTCCAAATGCCGGGTTCCCCAAAGGCAATTTTTTGGTGAACTCTGGGAACCCACGTTTTCGACACCAGAGAAAGAAATGCTGAAGCATATGGTCCCGTGTTGCCAGGCGTTGCAAGGCCTGGAGGTGCAGGGATTGAATTTGTGGGATGTCAGTTCAAACATGTTGAACCCATTTTCGCCCCGCCAAAGCTTTCAGAAGACGCATGCTCATGGCTAAGCTATACATGTTTCTAGTTAGAATCAAGTATTCAATACATTTTGATACCTGAAAGCCTTCTTGCTCGTTCTTGCTTTGTCCTTGAAAATGTTGGCAAGAAAATGAGAAGAAACAGAATGAGGAGGGGACAAGAAAGAAATCAAGAAGTGGAAAAGCTACGTTGATTCGGAATGGCTGCAGTAGAACCATGTAAACCTGCATGGTGTTTTTGGTGTTTTTGGCGTTTTGGCCTTGTTTTACATCAGAAATTTCAGAAATCACCGAGGACCCAGTCCTGGACTCTCGCCGGCGCTTGCCGTCACTGTTCGGTGGAGAAGTGCTTCTGCCTGCAACGCTCAAACCATCTAACCATATTCTAACCATCTCAAACCTCCAATTTGGGGATTTCATCATACTTTACTTTGCAACCCAGAAGCAGGGACTTAAGACTTGATCGGTACGATCCAGTAGGAAAACAATACATTGGGCCTCATTGGGCAGATGAACTCAGCCGAAGTATCGCTATACAGAGCCCACAATTGATAGATACTGTACGCGGGAAGCCACATGGCATATGCATATTCAACGAACTCGATCTAGCATACAGTGAAGACGAGCACGGGTCCAACTAGTCCAAATGGTTTCCAGGTTGCGTGGGTCCAAAAATTAATCAGCCTATTTGTGTGTAATGGAATTTGCACACTCCTGGGTTGACGATATGCCGCAGGCTTTGAACCATTGGTTGGTACTAGCTTGAGTCTCTCCACGCTGACATGTACACGTTAATCATCGTTAATCTATGCACCCCTTTTATTGTTTTTCTTAAAGTGGATGAAATTGAGATAGTATGCGGTTTGCGGGGTGTGGTTTGCGAAGTAGCTAATACACTCCTGATGACTTAGAAGTTCATGCATGAGACTTTAGAATGTTGGGCTGATTTGGGCCTTGCAAATTGGCCAACATGCGAGTCGCATTTTCCAGTTGAGATGACATGGGCATGTAGGCATGTCCAATACTTACATGGTGAGGTCATCAATGGTCCAGGTGGGAACCGGTGGGAATGGATGGAATTGTGAGCCCATGTGAGCCCTGTGACATCCTGTGACACTGTGAGGTTTGCTGCCATGAAGCCCAACCCTGTGAGTATGCATAGCTGGATCCATGAATTTGCACACCCAGGCTCGAACTGATGTCATTGGGAATACTGCCAGAATCAACCCCACATTCTTGGGAGACATTGGCTTTCTCCTCTGTAGAAAACAATGTGCAAGATCATGTGCATTGTAGTTCTAAATGGTCTCTGATGATTTATAACTTATGCATCATGATCACTGATTACATTCCCATTTTGGTTAGTCATCTCCCTCTTATAATTGGTGACCGTTCCCCTCATTTGTTGGTAATATGACATGATGCGACATGACATGATTAGATAATTCATACATGATTGAGATTTGGTCCAATTCAAGTCGCATGGATGAATTCTTGCGGTTGCAAAAGCCCATTGGGATCAATTATGCAGGTTTTTTCATCGCAGGAGTGGATCGTTTTGGATCCTGATTTTTGTAGATTGTCGGGCGCTTGAAAACTGCAGGCACCCTGGCGGAGTTTTTGGTGGCACCTTGGTAAAGCATTGGGGTGGGTTTCGGGCTCAGAACCTCCTGGGAATAATGGGATGCACCTAACATCAACTAACTACATAAGAAATCAGATGGGAAAAACATACACACATACACACTTTTTTCATATTAACTAATACTCGTACATATTATTTAGTATTTACTAGACAGACATCTATACTGCATGCTTCTGAAAGCAACCAAAGCTGAGCTTCGTGTTCTATGCATTTCAACCCCTTCTCGTCTTTACTTTACATAAGTTCCTTCTGAGTTGATCTGGATGCAGACCATTCCCACCAGAAGCTACAGTACCGGCACTAAGTAGCAGTAGCCAGTTCTTTTTTCTGCAAGATTGCCCACACCATTTTGAGGCCCTGTTCCCCCAATGGGCTCTAGTGATAACTCAGTATGTTGCGGTATAATATCGCATCACAATTATCACATTATCATTAGAATAATTTAATTAGCATGCATAATATAATGCTAAGACATGAGAATGCTTGCACAGCTTTACCGCCAAACTTGAGGGGTCTGCTTGCAACGCCGCGGATCTTTCAGGAGGAGATCCCCATCCGCTTTGCCGAAAGAATTCGTTGGATCGAACAGGTGGGGCAAGTCAGATATCATCAGATACAGCATGTTTTTTTCTGTCTTTTTTGGAGGGGGAAACAATATCAGACATGCCAAAAGTCAAGTCTGTCTAGAGTTTGGATCCCACCGTCAATTCAGACGTTGTGAGACAGAACATGTCTCAGAAGCGGATTTGAATTTGATTGGCGCAGCAGGGATAAGTTGAGTATTTGCATCTTTGTCTTCGCCCTCTGGCAGGTGAATGAGTGGAAAGACGTGCCGGAACTGGTGGAGTCGCACTTGAAGCACACAGCTGCTCGGTCATCAAAGGGCTATGAATTGAGTTTGCTTTCAAACTGGGAAAACGGAAGAAGCACAAAGTGGTGTTCTGACTCGGAGTATCCTAAAGTCGTTTAGATATGCACAACTCAAAACTGTCTTGTGGATCAGAGCAGCATGGCAAGATATGGAAAGCGTCAGCCGTGTGAGGCCTCTTTCTCGTACATGCGTAAAGCGGACCCGAAGGATCCCGTGAAGTTCCAGAAGACCGTGCAGAAGGTCCTGAAGCGGCAGGACAACATGGTGGAACTGATGACTTTGGTGCCTTGGCCATCTTGGCCATGAAAGTTGGGCTTCTCAGGCTTGAGAATTCATGATCCAGACGCTGCGAGCAAAGTTGTTTTTGTTCATGATGAAACATGATGAAACAACAACACCTTGCGCCAACCTTGAAGCTAGACCCTGAATCCCGCAATTGTGCACCACCCAGGGAATGCAGAAGCTGCGGAAACTTCGTCAAGCGGAGAATTTTGATGGCTTCTCCAACAAGTTTTTGGACAATTTCTTGTGCCTCGCCTGCAGTTGTCTATGTCCGATTTGTGTGGGATGAACTGGTGACGTTTCTCCTGATTCTTTGCGGATGCGCTATGACGAGCAAATCTGTCTAAATTTCAAAAGAAATCAAAGGGACTTGATTTGCTCTGATTTACAATAGCTGTTTCGCTCTCATCGGTCGCATGTTCTTGAGTGTGGAGCAGCACCAATAGTTTTGATATAGGACCCCTTTCGACATGGGAGTGCACTGAATCGGACACTCATGCACTGTTCTCAACGGCGCAGTCATACCACCCTTTAGATCCTTTGGGCCGTTCTGAAGTTTGCCCACATCTCAGGTTGAATCGACTTGGTTGTAATTTGCTGCTATCGCATTACCTTGCATGTGCTCATCCTCATCGCAAGATGATTGGCAACACGGCTGAGACAGGGAAGTTCAGGGTCAGCGAGAAATGAGATAGATCAAGGATGATCAAGGGACATTTCAGCGTGTGACTTGATGACTAATCTGAATATTGGCATTTCAGTACAGGAACATCGACCTTGAAAGTCACGCCGGATACTGTCCACAATCCATGGAGCTTTCTATTCCAGAAATCAAAGCTAAGGCATGTTTCTGGAGTGGGAAAGATGTATAAAGGGAGTGTCCAGACCTGGAGACCTCGACTTGTTTGCCTTGTTTGCTTTGGAGTCCATTTAAAATGTGGAACAGGAGGGCGGCACGAGCGGCAATTTCAGCTGTATGACATTTGCAATTAACATGTTTGAAGAAACTGTAGCCAATTGGTTCAATCAGCTCAAAAAATGGGTTCCACTTGGGCCCACTGGCGCCCAACGATGTCCAGGCATTATCGACCCTCAATGTGATGCGGTGGAAACTTGCAGAGCGGCTGGTCAGGAGCTGTTTTGTCAGGAACTCTCAATAGACAGATTGCTCTGCTTATGATCTCCAGAATCTCCAGAATCTCCAGATATAAAGTTGATGAAATATGATGAAATTTGTAATTCTCAAGATTTCTCAAGGCTTCCCAAGACACAAGAAACCCATGCCGGAGGAGATTCTGGGCGCATGCCGCGATTTCCTGGGCCGTCAACCTGTTCTGCGAGTGGAAGGATTTTCGCCCGAGGGCCACCAAGGTCTTGCGCCGCGCAGCTTGGCGTCGAGGTCAGCTGACATTCCCAACGGCTTTGATGAGTTAATCTATGTGTCTATCTGTGAATTAAAAATGAAATATGTATTGTACGTACCATATACATCCGCAAAATATATATATATAATTATATATATACAATATAGTCATATAATATCATATATATATATTGTGTATATATATATTTATATACAATATACTATATATATATATTTTGATCTATATTGTATAATAGCACACACACATATATATATAATATAATTATTTTGATGTGGAGACCAGAAGTCTCCTCATGCATCAACGAGGCATCAATGAGCAGTAATCAGAGATAATCAGCACACTGCCTTGAGGCTTCACCTACATCCCTGGCATCCTCACCTTCATCATGAGGGAATTGCTTAAGAACAGCTTCAGAGCTACTCTCGACATCACTCCAGACGAATCTCGCCGGCAGGCTGCAGGCATAGCATGGCATAGCTGCGTTGAAAGGTGAAGATGAAGTTTCCCAAAAGTATGACTATACCGGCTGAAATCTCCAAAATAATAAAAAGCGACTCCAAGGTTGGTATCAACATGTCTAATGTCTACACAGGTAGTAGGACGACCTGCCTCCAAATGCGACATGCGATTTCACCATCAGAGCCAGCAATAAGAGCATTTCAAACTCAGTTGGGCAACTCCTGCATCCCACATGATTATATAAATAAATAAATATATATATATGTATAAGTTTGGCCCACTGGTTGATTCTGTTGCTACTACAATCATTTTTGAGATGCTTGATGGATGTTACACCGCTCAAAGCACCAGGAGGAGCTCGAGAGTCGTCCGATCGAAGTGATCGTTTGCGCCAATGAAGCGCATGTCATGATTAGACACACGGCTGCAAATCTTCACCACATGGTTCTGAAAAGATTGAAACGGAAACAAACTGCAGCATGGTGCATTTTGATACTGCAAAATCCCCCCGCATTCAGTTGGATGGCCAGCTGGAAGAAACATTATCCATGGGAATTGGCCAAATACTTTTCTTGCAGGAACAGATGTGCCCAATATTGGCCAGCATTATCCATGCTGCTAGTTGGTTATTTTTGCACACTGTGAGGATCTCTTCAAGCTGAGTCAGCTTGAAGCCTGTTTGCCAAGTCATAGACCTATTTCAATCTTCTTGTTGAATGTCAAGTTGAAGGATTTGGTTCTTGATTAGATTGATTAGCAAAGGAAGCCAAAATACAAGCAAGACACAACAAGACATGATAAGACCGAGAACATACCATGAATGTGAGAAAAACTCGAAAAATTGCTGTGCATAGCTACGCATAGCTACGCATTTGATGGTACTGGATATTGCCGTGTCTGGCCTGCAGAGCTCGCAAGCCCAGGAGTCAGTGACCGTGCACAAGGAATCCCTATCGAAGTTGGAAATCGAGTGTGGTCTTACATGATGCTTGGTTTTCAAATGTTTGCAATGGTTTTAGATAGTGTTAACTGGTTTTGGGATGTTCCATGGGAAAATATGGGAAATGTGACCAGCCCAAGCCTCTCCAAGCTTTGAAAATAGGAACATGGGAACAATTGGTAATGGACTGTAACAGTATGTAACAGTACTATCAAAACAAAGGCTATAATGTCTATAATCGGCTATAACTGCAGCTGAGCATAGCTGAGTAAAAGTTGGGATTCCAAGGTACACAACCTCCTCGAAGGCATCTCCTCTGAGCGGTTACGGAGTCGGGCTGCCACTCTCACGGCTGCATGCCAGGTGACTCGTCCAAAATTTGCATCGCGGCAGCCATATAGATAGATATAGATAGTTAGTTAATGTTAGTTAGATAGTCTTAGAACATCTCACTACCATTTGAGACCCCTTGAAGCCAGCATGGTGTGAAACGCCGTTAATAATTCATATGAGTCCTGACTTAACTCTCCACAGCCGCGGGTTGTGCATAGTTAAACATACTCAAATACTTGGGATAAGGATTGAGTTCCTTTGAGCCAATTTTGGGAACCCTCATATTTCTACTGGATGCCCTTGCCTCTCTGTGTGGGTCGTTGGGTTCGTTCTTGCAGAAACATATTGCGGGGAATGTCACTCTAATTGGCACTTTGCTTCGACCAAATGCATGTCTTCTAGTGATAGTGGCAGTCTCTACTCCTTCAAGACCTAAGAATTTAGGCACTTAATAGCAATAACTTCCCTTGCCACCCCAATTACCGAACTACCCACAACTCATGATGACTCCTTTGCAAGGGGAAGACCCCCCAACACTATGTGATTTTGGCAATTTGGCGCACCCATAACTCTAAGGTACATGGGCGGTACGTTGGAACTCATTTCCTTGCCAGGTTATGGTTGGGGGCCACAGCGAGCTGGGACGGAGGGGTGGAGTCGACCGAATGTTGAAGAATGATGGAATGAGACCACCAGGCTGAAAACTGGGACGACAACGACAGAAATAGACATGGTTTCTTTCTGCTTTTGGAAGTAATTCTTACAAGAATGAGACGGGAAGACATGCCTAGGCACTGTAGCAAGGAGACACTGGAGGTAGCTCTTGTTGCATTAGCAGAATTAGCTTCTGTTGAACATGCAACGGCAATACATGCAACCAACGGCCCTTCATTATCTTTTATTCACTGATTTTGTTGCAGCCACAAAAACAGCAACGATATATACCTGGAGTCAGTATTGTTTCCAAGATTGTCCAGGTGAGTGCAAGCACAATAGTTGTGCGCAGAGAGCATGCACCCCATGGCCATATAGTACAGATTTTGTGAGGTGCTAGTACTTACACAACGCTGCATGCAGGGGAAAGCTTCCTGCACATTGGTATGGCTGGGTCATTATGGTCATACACCATGTGTATCCATTTGTGGTACTGATAAGGCTCGCAGGCCATAGCTGTTTGACTTGAGCTGATGATATTTGTTTCTTTGCTTGGAACTTGTGGAGAGCAAGTAATGTGTTGACGATATAGTTGCCAAAATGGCTATGCCATTTTGGCTCAAGCTGTTCCCCCTGTGATCCAATACTTTCGAAAAGACGTTCTGATCTTCTTGTCTTGCTCATGGCGGCTTCTAGTCCAGTAGCAAGTGAGACTGGCACCGTGGGCTCCTTCTCGTTGATTGGAACAGAAATGGATGCAGGGGACGATTACATGTTGCTTTCCACACCGGTGACTGAGGCTGCGCCAGCCGAGGTTACGACAGAGTTTGAAGATGATCCCGCCATCACCAAGGAGACACTGGCTTCGCAGCTCCATGAGATGGAGAAAGTGATGGAAAACTTGGGCTTGGAACCCAAGCCGGAGACAGGTGTGGCAGCGTCAAGTGTGAAACCTCCGTCGGGGTTCGTCCAGGCTGAGGCACCGACTCCAGCTCAGACACCACAGACCTTAGAGAAGGAGACGTTGACGCTCCACGTGGATCAGACCACAGAGACCTTCACCATCGAAGGCTGGGCACCCTTGGTTCCGGCCCTACCTCACTCTGCTGCCAAGTACTTCAGAGACATTACGCATGGTGAGCTGCGTTCCCTGTTGGACGCTTTCCGCAGTTCTCCATGGACGGCACCCTTGGTGGTCAAGATCGCAGAGGTGTATCACATCTCGAAGCGCGAGGCTGTCCACACACAGATGTTGAGACTCCGGCACACTACGCAGCGTGGGGGCTCCATGGTGAATTTGAAAGAGACGGACCCCGGAACTTCTCCGCAATTAGTCTGTTCTGATTGCAATGCACCGTGGGGGAAGTTATCCAAATGTTTGCTTTGCCAAGGCTCTCAGCCTGTTGACCTGTCAGTGACACCTTTGTCGGTGATTGAGGTGGCCGGCCAGTCCTGGCAACTGAGGCTTACTGAGGCTGGACCAACTTGGGTCCCAACAGACTCTAAGGTCACTAAGGCCGCGGGCTTTGTGGAAGTGGGCGATCTGGGCCGACCTCCCCCTGCGGCAGCTTCGGGCGCCGGTATGGGGTTGGTCAGCTTTTCGGAGCAAGTGCCTGCCTCCCAGCGCCTGACACTGCAGCAACACGTGGTGGCCTTCGGGCAGGACGAGATCTTTCATCCAGATGGCGTGCGCCCCCCCACTATGGATGATCGAGACCCTACTCAAACTGCGGTGATCTTTCATCCGAAGACTATTGAACTGATGCGCTTCAAGGCTGACTTGCTGGCAACACCAGAAGAAGAACTCACAGAAGCGGCACAGGAGGCCAAAAAGAGGAAGAAGGAGATTCAGCATCAGCAAGAGACTGTGGCGATGGAGGATGAGCTACACACCTTGACTGCCATCCAGCAGGGTGCGCAGGAAACCCAGAATCCGGTCAGTGCCAAAATTCTTCGCCACGCTGACCTCCAGCAGTTTCGGTCCTACCTCAAGCGAAAACACGAAGAAAGTGGTCTCACTTCCTCTTATGAAGCTTTGGTGGCAGCACAGACAACACAGGACAAAGCGGCGGCTGCCAACAAGGCCCTTGACACGGAGTTCAGAGACCGCCGCAAGGCTCTCAAGCCCATCGACGTGGCGCCCTTCTCACTTTGGACCCCAACTCTGCAAGAGGCGTGGCAGAGCAATGTCTTCGCGCCGGCCATGGGACCACAAGGGCCTGAACAGTTTGACATGGAGGCCCTCAAACAACCCTACCTTCGCATGAAGGAGCTCATCAAGGACAATAGGCCTCCGCTCTCCCAGGACCGCCTCATGACGGAGTTCCCAAAACCCAACTCGACATGTACACCATGGGGAAGGAGACGGTATCTTCCCAAGAGGCCCAGTTAGCACGACTCCTTCCGCCTGACAGCCTTGAACGCAAGTACGCAATCCTTGACTCCATCTTGCAGTACCACAAAGGTGAAGTCAGAGCCTGGGGCGGAGAGTGGGAACTGCGACAGGGCCCGCTCACGGCACCTGCCTGGGCGAAACCTGCACCTACGACTGAGGTCTTGGCTTTGGAGCTCAGGACAAACCCGCTGGGCACCTCCTTCTACACGCCCAGAACCTACACGGAACAGGTGGTCCTGCAGCAGATTGCCGATGGCAAGCGACCCGACCTGGACAAGATCATTGGCTTCTTTTGGGCCCCGGGGACGGCGGTAGCTTCTGGCACCGACGATACCCACCTGGTTCGAAGGGTGCAGTCATGGGATCTCCCCTCCATGATCACGATGTTTGGACAGTCCTGGACGTTCAAAGAGATCTACCAGGCTTGGTGTGGCATGCCTCTGATCATCAAATCCATGCGCCGAGGGCAGGGAGAAGGCATCCGCCAGAAGAAGGTGGCAGAGTTGGCGGCACACCGGCAGAGGACTTCCGAGATCAAGTCCTTCCTCACTAGTGTGGGCCTCCGGTTTCCCCAATCACAACACGAGATCAGGCTGCTTTACAAAGAAATTGGCAGCTTTTTGGCTGCTTCGGTCTTCTTAGCCAGAACCCCAGCGGTGGTCTTGGACTTGCCCGAGCAAGACATCCAGGACACAAAGGAGCAGCTCCGTTTTCGAGCGGTGTGTGACGAGCGCATCACCTTGCCTTTGGATGCTTTCAGGCAGCTCCCGGACGTTTTCCAGGCACTGTCAGCCACTCTGGGGCCCACAGCATGGTCCAAGTGCAAGTCGCCTGGAGGTGCAACTGTGAGCTATGGTGGGTTGCCCTGGTCCCCCATGAGAAGGCGGAGAGCTTCTATTGGCGTCTGGGCTACTCCCAGGCAGAGATTGATGGCTTCTTGAAGACGGCACTGGAGCCGGAGGCTCTGCGGGCGACTACGGTAGCTTCGGGCACCGATAAGTACCCCGAGCTCTCCGTGGAAAATGTGGTCTCCATATGCAGCCCCAAGTACAAGCGGGAGCACTATGGCCACCGTGGAGTCCATGCCTTTTGGGGCCGCACCGATTGCGGGCTCATCCTCAGCAGTATCAGTCCCTGGGAACTGAAGACGAAAGAGGCTGGAGTGACTCGTGGAGGCTGGGTTTGCAAGGCCTGCCAGGGCTTTTGGCGACAAGCGAGAGGAGCTTCCCGCTTTGTCCAATTGATTGGAGAGCACCGGGGAGCCAAAGTCAACCTCCAATTGATTTTGGACGAGCCACCTCAACAGCTGTACAACAGCTGGGTGAAGTCCAGGCTTGAGTATTACAAGCGAGTGGAGCCGACTGCGGCCCCGCGAGATGTGGCCTTGGAAGTGGACCCTGACCACACCCAGCGCTTGAAGTTTTCCTGCCAGAATGGAAATGGCAATGTTTCCAACGCCATTTGGTCGGTCCTTTTGAGCAACCCGGATCTCGAAGGCCTTCAGAAGATCAATGCGCTGGCAGCGAGCAGAGTCCAGCCGGCCTGAGAGCTGAGTGTTTGCGAGGGGCTGTTTTACTGACCTGGTGGCCTGGTAGTAGCGTCTTGCACCAACGTCACCACGCGGTTCTGCAGACACCTTCCTTTTTTGTATGAATAGCATTGGTTGCGCACCACGACAAGGGCCAAGACAGGGGCCAGACCGCTGGGATGCCAGCTCACACAGCGAAAAAGGGAAACCTGCATGTGGCTGCCTCAGTGTCATTTACGGCATGTTGCGATGTGAACACTACAGGTTTTTCCTTGGTTTGATGTCATTGGTATCCTTTCGGGCTTCGCCCATTACGCTGATGTGACTGATGTAATCGTGGCTTGCTCTTGCTCTGGCACAGTTGCAACTTTGACGGTTTCCCCTTGTTTTTTTTCAGCTTGCTCTTTTCATGTGTTAGTGCTCCGCACACCCGCAGTACCCTTTTTGGGCCAGGTTTGGCCATAGTGAGTCGGGACATCATGGAACCCGATCTTGTGCGTAGAACACCTTTTGGCCTGGCAATGGTTCGTCTCCCTGAACACATGCGAGACAGCCTGCTGGACCATGGTATTTTCCCCACCCAGACAGAGGGGGAGTTGTTCATGCAGCTCTGCATGCAACAAGTGCCACCGGACCATCCGGAGGCCATGGATGGGGGAATCTGGACCTCTCGGGTACACCCCAGTGATGACGTCGACCCAATGAATGTGGCTCACAGTAACTCCACGATGGTGGCTACCATGCCCTGGATGGAAGACTTTGTTGCGGACTGCATGAACCGGGTGCCACAACCAGCGCCCCCAGAGGAGAGAGACAGGACCTATGATGCATGTTTTAGCCTCTTCACTTTGATTGCGGGTGCACCAGATTCAGCCTTCCACACACCCTTTCAACAGCAACAGGAAAGCATGGACCGGGCTAGATGGCGAGCCTTTCATGCACGGCCTCCCATAATGGCCATTGTGGAGGCCAAATGGAGGCACTGGAAGCCTGGACGACTCAAGGAAGAGTCGGCTACAACCCAAAGGAAGCTAGAACTCCACCTCAGAGACCGCTGGGCAGAGAGAATCATTGGGCTCCTTCTGCCCTTTGCCAAAGACAT